TAATTCCATTTTAATCTCCTTTATTTCTTTTTCTTGCATTGCGATATTCTCACGCAATTTTTCTCCTTTATCTGGTAATGAACTGATGTTACCAACAGTAAATAATAACTGAAAAATATATATAGCATTATTTATCTTTCACTTTAAAGCATTGCCACCCATTAGTTATTCACCTTTGTTTTACTTAATTGGTTTTCTAACTGTTCCAATTTGCAAACAAGAAGAGCCCTTTTTTGTGCAACCAACGGATCTATATCAGCAAAGCCCGTTTCCTGTTTCGCTAAGGACACTGCAACTTCTGATTGTAAAATATTTTCTTCGTCTACATGAAAATTTAGGAATCAATTAGATACAAATATGAGAAGCTTATTGTACACAGTTTTGAAATAAGAGACAATAAAAATATTTATACCTGTATCAGACAATTCACATAGAGTTGTTTTATTTGATTCAAGTAGTTTTGCTTTTTCTTCAGGGATGTGTTCCTTGATCAAATAACTATTTCTAGGTATACCTTCAGATACATTAGAAACATTAATTTCCAAACTATTCTTGTTTTCTGTCAAAGCATCTTCCAGTCGTCTGTCGTTTAATACTTTATCATCCTTTTCTATTACTTGTTCAACCTCATCTAACGAATGCAACTAATTATATCAAGTTCAAAGCTATTGCTTTTAAAGATTAATGTAATTAAATTTGAATTTACCACTTGATGTGTCATCACTATCATCATATTGCAGTCGCCTTACTTTATTACTGTTCTTCTTCCTTACTTGTTGTTCAATGTCATCTAACAAATGTAACTAATCATATTAAATTCAAAGCTATCACGTTCAAAAATTAATGTAATGAAATATGAATTTACCAACTGATGTGTCATTGCTATCATTATATAGTCGTCTTATTTTATCATTGCTCTTCGTTGTTTGTTCCTCATCTGACAAATGTAACTAATCATATTAAGTTCAAAGTTATTGCGTTTAAAAATTAATGTAATCAAATGTAAATTTACCACTTGATGTGTTATCATTATCATCATCAATATAATCTTCTTTGCAACTGCTGACTGATACAGAATCATTTTCATTATGATCACTGGCATCTTCACTGTCGGAATAAAAAATGTTCTTCTTAATCCTATCTTTGATCTGTTCCTCTGTTAACAATAGCTTTTCAGACGCAGATTCTCTGAAACATTAAAAACTTGGTTAGACATTAGTGGATTAGACATTAAATGTTGAAATGTCATTAGTAGACTCTGTGCGGATTTTTATGCAAATTCATATTTTTTACACTGTAATTAAAAAAATAGAGAATTGTCTTTCAAATATTATAAAAAGCAAAAAATAGCTTATATTAGATATCATAAAAAGCATTACACATTTTTACATATTATTTATATTCTGTGCAATTTCGTATAAACATTCACAATCTAATTGTTAAATAATGTAAGCTGAACTCCGAAAGATACTGCTTACTTCATCGATATTGAATTTGCAGAGACATTTGCACTGTTCTCGCTGCTCTCGATCACAAAAACTTGCTCTTTCTCGCTACTGTCGCTAACGTCCTCATCACTGTCCGAAATAAGAAAAGATTTCTCTTTTGTAGCTTGCGACGAATCGCGCCACTCATTGAAACTTTTGTCCTCCATTCGAATTGCTGTACACTTTGTCGAGCCTATCTAATTGTACGAGATAAAAAAGTAATTAATTGTACATGTAAACTATACGATATAAATAAATGTCTAATTCTCACAACAGATATTAAATCATTTCTCGTGTAGAAGTTCAACCGAAACTACTTTGAATTGAAAAATATCGTGCGAACATGAACTACGCAGTGATATAGTGTGACGTGTCACGTTACTCTTTTGACAACGCAAGACAAGAGTTGCAAAAAGTAATTGCAATAATATTCAAATAATAATGGAAACAAGGGGAAACGCATTGGAGAAGTATTTATAAACGAAAAATCAACGAAAGTAATTTTATTCGGCAAGTCAGTGATTTTCTTTTTCTAGGATTTTTCTTCTCATTCCTCTGCTAGGGGAATACAAAGGGCAAGAATTTCCCTAGATGCCTAGATTCCTGAATCTAGTTGGTATCAACGCCGAGTCCTTGTTCTCGTCTTGTCTACAAACGAGACAAAGAGAATTGTGTTAGTTCGAAGCGAGACTCATCGTTGAGAAGAATGGCTGATTTTCTGAATTCCGAGGCGGAAGAAAGCGAGGTATTTATATCGACGAATTTAATACCGTTGTACGCGCAATGCTGTTATAATAACATCATACACTTGCATACATAACACACACGAATCTTTCAATCGTTCCAAACTCCCATTGCTGATCGATCTTTAATTGCAATTTAGGAGGAAAAGGAATTAGACGATAACGAGAAGAAGAAACTAAAGAAAATCAAAGCTATGGAGGAGAGTGACGAAGAGGAGGAGGAAGGTGAGGACAGATACAATACATTTCATGGTGCTGTCGTAGCGTTCTGTGAAAATTCTTTTGTATCTGAATGTAACGATGCATACATTTGTACACGTTTCACGTATGTTTCATACTCCATAGTCGACGAACGATAGTGCCTATTGTATTCTTTGTTTAGACGACGAGGATCGCTTGAGGGAAGAGCTCAAGGATCTCATTGACGATAATCCCATAGAGGAAAGTGAGGGAGAAGACAGCGACGCTTCTGGAGGGTCGAAGAAACGCAAGAAAAGCGACGACGAAGATTTCGATGATCGTTTGGAGGATGAGGACTATGATTTGATAGAGGAAAATTTAGGAGTCAAAGTTGAAAGGGTATGTGCAGATTGATTCGTTTGTTGAAGATGTTTGATACTATGTAAATATAGATAAAGTGACTTCATTCTTTACTTTAGAAACGTTTCAAACGCCTGCGTAGGATTCAAGATGAAGAGTCGGAAGAGGAACAGGAAAAGGAAGCAGACGATGATAGAGATGCTATTGCAAATGAACTTTTCGAAGCTTCCGGTGACGTAAGTTACATTTTTATTGAATTTTCTTTCTTTTTTTTTTGCTACATGCTTAATTTTTCCACTTGTCTATGTGTTTGCACCAGGAAAGGGAGATTATTATGGTACGTTGAAGCGAATGCAAAGATAATACTTTGAGAAACAATTGCTCGACCCTCCCCCTGTCTATCTTCACTTTGTTTCACTCTCTGTTTTTGTTACGCATTAGGAGGATGAACGAAGAAGCGAACGTAGTCACAGACCCGAGGCAGATACGTTCGACGAGGAGGGAAGCGAGGGTGAATACACGGACGCTGACGATTTCATCGTCGACGACGACGGTAGACCGATCGCCGAGAAACGAAAGAAGAAGAAGCCAATATTCTCTGACGCGGCTTTGCAAGAGGCGCAAGATATTTTCGGCGTTGATTTCGATTACGATGAATTTGGTAAATACGGCGAGGAGGACTACGAGGAGGAAGAGGAAGAGGAGGAGGAGGAGGAAGATGAATACATGGACGACGAGGATGCGGAGAGGCCGCGGCGGCCGAAGAAACAGTTGAAGAAGAAAACCACGAGGAAAAGTATTTTCGAAATTTACGAACCGAGCGAGCTGAAACGCGGCCACTTCACCGACATGGACAATGAAATACGAAACACGGACATACCTGAGAGGATGCAGCTGCGGACTGTTCCCGTCACGCCGGTGGCAGAAGGTTCCGACGAGCTTGATTTAGAGGCAGAGTGGATCTACAAGCAGGCCTTTTGTCGACCGACCATTTCGATTCAGGACGCACACTTGAACGCCGAGGCGAAGGAAAGAGCCCGGAAGGGGCCTCAGACGATCGGCAAGATCAAAAAGGCATTGGACTTTATGCGAAATCAGCAATTCGAAGTGCCTTTCATATCATTTTATAGAAAGGAGTACGTCTTACCAGAGTTGAACATCAACGACCTTTGGAAGGTGTACAAGTTCGACGCCAAGTGGTGTCAGCTTCGCCAGAGGAAGGAAAACTTGCTGAAGCTGTTCGAGAAAATGAGGAACTACCAACTGGACGAAATTATGAAGAATCCGGACGCACCTCTGCCGGACAACGTACGATTGATCAAGGACGACGACATCGAACGATTGAAGAACGTGCAAACCAGCGAGGAGCTGAACGACGTTTACCATCACTTCATGTTGTACTACAGCCACGAGATACCAGCGATGCAAGAAGCTGCCCGCCAGAAGGAGAAAGAAGCGCGCAAAGAGGCGAAACTTCAGAAGCGAAAGCAGCAAATGGCGGATGCCGAGGAGAACGGCGAGGGCCCTCTGCCTGAAGAGGAAGCGGACGTGGAGGAAGAGGAGGAGACGGATGAGACGTTGAAACAGGCAGTTCGAACCGGCCCGTACTCCATCTGTAGGCGAGCCGGCCTCGACAGTTTGGCGAAGAAGTTTGGCCTGACACCGGAGCACTTTGCCGAGAACTTGCGAGACAATTACCAGCGACACGAGGTGGACCAAGAACCGACGGAACCGTTGACCATCGCCAACGAGTATTGCAGTCAAATACTCAACAATCCAGAGGAGGTGTTGAAAGCTGTTCAGCTAATGGTGGCCATTCAATTGGCGCGTGAGCCGTTGGTGAGGAAGTGCGTGCGCGAGATGTACATGGAGAGGGCGAAGATATCGGTGAAACCGACGAAGAAGGGTATCAAAGAGATCGACGAGAATCATCCGGTTTATGGGATGAAGTACTTGAAGGACAAGCCAGTGCGAGATCTGGTAGGGGATCAGTTCCTGAATTTGGTGATAACCGAGGAGGACAAGCTGATCGCGATAACGCTGAGCGACAGCATCAAAGGGAACACTAGCAACAACTACGTGGACGAGATGAAGCAGCTTTATTATCGGGACGAGTTCAGCAAGAACGTGCAGGATTGGAACGCGTTGAGGGTGGGAAGCGTGGAAATGGCCCTCACGCGTATCGTACTGCCGAGTTTGAAGAAAGAGCTGAGAGCAAATTTGCTCGCAGAGGCGAAGGAATGCGTGATGAGAGCCTGTTGCCGTAAGATGTACAACTGGATCAAAGTGGCCCCGTACAGCTGCGAGTTCCCCGAGGAGGAGGACGAGGAATGGGACACGAGCAAGGGGCTGAGGGTAATGAGCTTGGCCTACGTGCCGGATTACTCTCAGGCGGCGTTCGCTTGCCTGATCGCGCCGGATGGCGAGTGCACCGACTACCTGCGATTACCGCACGTAATGAAGCGGAAGAACAGTTACCGAGAGGACGAAAAAACGATGAAAGAAACGGATCTATTGGCGATCAGGAATTTTATAGCGACGAAGAAGCCTCACGTTGTGGTTATCGGCGGCGAGTCGAGGGAGGCGATGATGATCGCCGCCGACATTAAGGAGTGCATCGCCAACCTGCTAGAGGAGGAGCAATATCCAAACATTCAGATTGAAATCTGCGACAACGAATTGGCCAAGATCTACTCGAACAGCAACAAGGGCGTATCGGAGTTCCGAGATTATCCAGAGTTATTGCGCCAGGCTATCTCGTTGGGCAGAAGGATGCAGGATCCGTTGGTGGAGTTCTCGCAATTGTGCACCGCCGACGAGGAGATCTTATGCCTCAAGTATCACGGCCTGCAAGATCAGTTGCCGAAGGACGAACTGCTGGACAACTTGTATCTGGAATTCGTGAACCGCGTGAACGAGGTCGGCGTCGACGTGAACAAGGCGGTGCAACAGGCCTACTGCGGCAATTTGGTTCAGTTTGTGTGCGGCTTGGGGCCGAGGAAAGGACAGGCGTTGATCAAAATGTTGAAGCAAACGAATCAAAGGTTGGAGAACAGGACGCAGCTGGTCACCTCCTGCCACATGGGACCGAAGGTATTCATCAACTGCGCCGGTTTCATCAAGATAGACACGAACAGTTTAGGTGACAGCACCGAGGCGTACGTCGAAGTGCTCGATGGTTCCCGAGTGCATCCGGAAACGTACGAGTGGGCGAGAAAAATGGCGGTCGACGCGTTAGAGTACGACGACGAAGATGCGAATCCAGCCGGGGCTCTCGAAGAGATCCTCGAGTCGCCCGAGAGATTGAAAGACCTCGATCTGGACGCGTTCGCGGAGGAGCTCGAGAGACAAGGTTTCGGCAACAAATGCGTCACCCTGTACGATATCAGAGCGGAGTTAAATTGCAGATACAAAGATTTACGCGTGTCGTATCAGTCGCCGAGCGCCGAAAGGTTGTTCGACATTCTGACGAAGGAAACACCGGAGACGTTTTACGTTGGGAAGCTAGTGCTGGCGACGGTGATCGGGATAAGTCATAGAAAGCCGCAGGGCGATCAGCTGGATCAGGCGAATCCCGTGAGAAACGACGAGACGGAATTGTGGCAATGTCCGTTCTGTTTGAAAAATGATTTCCCGGAGTTGTCCGAAGTATGGAATCATTTCGACGCCGGGGCTTGCCCTGGCAAAGCTACTGGCGTGAGGTTGAGATTAGACAACGGGATATCTGGTTATATTCATATAAAAAATTTATCCGACAGACACGTTGCGAATCCTGAAGAGAGGGTGAGCATAGGGCAAATAATACATTGTCGGATAATAAAGATCGAAGTGGAACGATTCAGCGTCGAGTGTACGAGCAAAAGTAGCGACCTTGCCGATAAAAATCATGAATGGAGGTATGTACACATAGGGGGAGCACAAAGAGTCGTGTAAAAATAAATGTCAAACTAATTCAAATTTTGCTTTCTAGGCCGCAGAGAGATCCGTTCTATGACACGGAAGCAGAACGCAGGGACGCGAAAGTCGAAGAGGACGCGAAGAAAGCCAAGCAACGACAGACGTACGTGAAACGGGTGATCGTGCATCCCTCCTTTCACAACATCAGTTTCGCCGAAGCTGAGAAGTTGATGCAGACGATGAAGCAAGGGGAAGCGATAGTCAGACCGAGCAGCAAAGGTGCCGATCACCTAACAGTCACGTGGAAAGTCACCGACGAAGTTTATCAGCACATCGACGTCAGGGAGGAGGGGAAAGAAAATGCGTTTTCCCTCGGTCAAAGTTTGTGGATCGGAAAGGAAGAGTTCGAGGACTTGGACGAGATTATTGCGAGACACGTTAACCCTATGGCTGCGTATGCTTCCGAATTGTTGGACTTTAAATATTACAAACCGGCGGTAGAAGGCATCAAGGATAAAGCGGAAGACATATTGAAGGAACAAAAGAAGGAGAATCCGGGAGGCATTCCCTATATAATATCTGCCGCAAAGGTTAGCGAAGAAACGCACGCTTGCGTATACACGTTCTCTGACGTTCTGCGACCAGATTCCAACTGTTTCACAAATCTGTTTCGTTTCAAATCTTTTCAGAATTACCCGGGCAAGTTTCTGCTGTCTTACCTTCCGCGAACTCGGTGTCGCCACGAATACGTCACGGTATCGCCGGAAGGATTCAGATTCAGAGGACAGATGTTCGGTAGAGTGAACGATCTCTTCCGATGGTTCAAAGAACACTTTCGAGATCCGGTGCCTGGTCAGTCTACTCCCAGCACTCCACGTGGCGCTATAACATCTAGAGCACCTTATCACGCAACGCCGGGTGCAGTGGGTGGTACGTACGTTATTCTCCGTCGATTTGTTGAAAAATCAACGACTCGAGATCACATAATCACAACATGATTGCTATGTTGCAGGAATGAATCAAGAAGCCATACAGAGGGTAGCGCAAAATCTTCCGCATCACATGTTACATTCGTTGTCGCAAGTGGCGAATCAAACTTCGCATCATTATCCACCGCACACGCCAGGAACCACGAGTGCCACCGGCTATGGTGGTGTTCATACGTATCCCAATACTCCGTACACACCTTCTGGACAGACACCGTTCATGACGCCGTACCAAACACCGCATCACACTCCGCATCATCATGGTCAGCCAACTCCAAGATACGGGCAGCAAACACCCAATCATCAGCAAGGTCCTTTCATTCATCCGCCTCCTCCTTCGGGGCTAAATGCTGCTGGACATCACAGATCAACGCCATCGCACAGGCCTACACCTCCAATGTCAACACCTGGCGATCCTATGGATTGGAAAAAAGCAGCGGAAGCGTGGGCGCGATTAAAAAGCGGTCCACGTATGTCGTAAGTATTTGTCTGATGAATGTTCTTTCTGTAATATTTTACATTTCTAACGCGTCTTTCTCTCCTTTTTTCAGTACTTCTACCCCGAGGTACGAAGAATCTAGAAGAACTCCACGAAACTACGAAGAATCGGTTGGAAGAACAACACCACGAAATAGAACTTCCAATCGGACACCTTCTTATAAATCTCCTCGAGGTACTCCGCACACAAATTCTAGTCCTCGAAGTATGTCCCTCAGCGGAGACGGTACTCCTTTGTACGATGAAAGTTAACAGGTTCGCTTATATATAATATATCATGCTTTCCAATTGTATCACGTCGTGTGATGTGAAAAGAAAGATACCGACAGGATTTCAAAGAAAAATCACAACCTGTGTATCTTCGTTCAAAATGATGCTCAACGTCGAGCGTTAAAAATATTGTATAAAATCATTTATCGAACACACTTATCAACTTCACGGCATCTTCTTTTATGTTGATGAATATTTATGCAGAAAATAAATATTTTGAATATATACATGTATATGTATGTCATGTGTATGCGTACGTATGTATGCACACGCATGATACACATATGTATATATATTATTTATCTATATATATATATATATACATACACATACATATATATATATATATATATATATATGTATGTTACATTGTTAAACTGCATACACCCTATTGTCTTCAAAAAGATGCATACTGATTGCAATGTAAAAAATTAAACTGCAAATTTTTCTTATATTTTTATTCGGCGTATGTTAACTCATACCGAATTATATATTAGTATATGTATAGCATATTTTTATTTGAACTTTAATTTTATTGACATCAAATTATTGTACAGTTCTTGTGTTTTTTAACTTAGGGACGTAGCATGTTCCTTAAATACTTTATATAATTGTTAAATTACATCATTAAACAATAAACCAATTTTATCTTGTAAGTTTACTCTATTTTTTTCAATAAGTATAATCCTTTTTTAATTGAAACGAAGATAAATAGCAGTATATTAACGAATGAGCAATAAACGTATTTCTTTATCTCTTTTATTTAAGAATGTAACAAAATACACTATAGTAGTTATAATTATAAAATATGCACATATAAAAAAAAATTTATTTAACATCACATCGAAATTTTCAACGTCACACATGAGAGACTTGGTCATCGGATAATATGTCATCTTTGTCTGGTATATCTTTGTAATACGTATATACGACATCACATTTCCCAGCTAACGATTGACCTCTAGGCCTGAATAAACATACGGTATCAACATCATTTAATGTAAGATCATCAAATTAATACTAACAATGTAGTCGTAAATTACAATTGTTTAAAAGGGCTGCTAAGTGGCGTATTCAACTCAATATCTTTCCTTACTTTTGATTTTTTCACTGTTGGTTCCGTTGCAACCAAGTTTGTATGAGATTTATGCTGTAAGAATAATATAATTACGTACTTTTATAAGTCGTTTTAACTTAATCGTCTTAATAATATATATATGTATATATATATATCTCCAAAGATCACACGTACCAGATTTTCAACATTTATGGATTCTGTATCGCATTTATTAGTTATATTTCTGGTATGATTCTAATTTTACCAGAGTAAATAAAAAAGATGAGAAATCTATAAAGAGAGAAAAGCAAAGAAATAAACAAGCAATATTACCTCATATATGGAAATATTTTCATCACTAGAATCGCTTGATTCTAACTCTTCTTGTCTCTTATTTCTCATTATACGTCTTCTGGATTTGTTACGTTCGACTGTCTTTATATTATTTTTAGCTTTTGGTGTTTTTGAAGTACTTTTTTTAATTCTCTCATTAATTTGTTTTCCCTTTTTTACATCTTTACTTTTAGCGGACGTTTCAGGAGAAAAAATTATTGAAGGGACTTGTGAAGTGCCAGGATTATATACTGGACTATTGTCCTTCAAAACAACGCGTTCTCCTGAAGACAGAAGAAACTCAAAAATGACTATATGTATTATTTTTTTATATATAAGAAACAATAATTCTTTTTTTTTTTCTTTTACCTGTCCAATAACTTAAAGGAGGTATTATTTTTCTACCTTTTGAACTTACACCAACGTTTATACTATCTACCGAAGTAGTATTACAGTTTTTTGTCGCATTTATAGAATCGTTAACATTGGCTTAAACAAAAACAATTCCTCCATTTATAATGTTTCTATTAATACTCTATCTAATGTTAATATTATTTATTACTTACTATTAATTACTTGCTATTACTATCTAACTTACCATTTTCTAATGATTTCCACATTTTACAAAACTGTTCTATATTAGTGGGACAACCATAACGACACTGGTTTACCAATTTTTTAGGTACAACTGTATGAAATGAAAAACAATGTAATTGATTTATAAATATAAATACAAATATTTTGTAAAACTGTTCCGATTCTAACCATGTTTCGTATCGTTTAAGTCGCCAATCAACTGATAAAATTCACGATGAACCGTCTCAACCACTTTTTGTGATACTCGACGAGATATTACATCCGTCTGAAACTTTCTGTTTGTAACGTGGCCAACCTCGCTGTATAAATATAATAATAATAATGTTGTATACTAAATTAATAATGCACAACACACATTTTAACTACTTACTTTAATAATTTTCCTTCAAAAATTAAATGCAATCCTGATTTGTACAAAACTCTTGGTGTCCAAGCAGACAGTAACTTCGGTTTACAACTATTTGAAGTTTCGTTATCTCTAGAAACGTTTAAATTATCTCGTAATAACTTTTTTGGAATAATAGAATCCATGTTACTCGACTGATTTTTAACACAATCTTCAGGACATTGGTTGCTGTCAAGCAATGAGTTTGTGCTTGCTTTTGGAGACTCTTTGTTTGTCAAACTTCTATTTTTGACTTTTTCATTTAATTCTTTAATAGACTTATTCTTTATGTTAACAGGAATCGAATTAATTATAACAGGTTTTGTCCTTTCAGTTGTGGTATTCTTCGAATCAAACAATAATTCTTCGTGTTGTTGACAAGATGAATGCTTTCGACATCGATCATTCATATATCTGTTTCTCTCTTGTGTATTGCCTTGTATATAAGAATTTGTTTCAGTCATTTTATTGTTATATTTTTCAGTCACGTCAATTTCACACTCATTATTTTCAGTTATTTTATAAGAATCATGCAAATATTGGACAGATTGAGCATCTGTTGAGTTCTGTTGTACACGATGTTTCTGAATTTTATGTGTATCTTTATTCTTCGAATCGACGTGTATTATATCTTCGTTCTTTGAACTGATATATTTCTTTATTTCTAAATGATTTCTCTCGTCTTCTATAACACTAATATTGGAATCATTAAAATTTATGTCATTAATTTCTTCAGAGTTTACTATTTTTATATAACTTCCATCGTTATGATTTGACATAATTGGAAGCACGCTTGAAACATTTTGTTTTTTTATGGCATCATGTTTTTGATGCATCTTTCTTTGCATTTTACGTTTACAAGGTCTTAGTAATGTTTCTTTTTGTTGTATTATCCGTTCTATCGGTATTTTCCGAACTCCTGCATAAACTTCACTTTCACTATCGGAAGTACTGATATCATCATTTTTACTCATTTCTGTAAAAGTTCTTTTTCTTTGTAATGATTCACTATAGTCGATAGCTCTGTTACCTATAGAATTAAGCAGTGAAATTGATTCTGATTCTACATAATCTTGAGATTTCTCATTTATTTTATTATGTTGTCCTTCTACCATATACTCGTCTGTTTTTGATTTTGAGTCTTCAATGTTAGATCCATCTTCTTTAATTGTCCTGTATGATACAACATAATTTAAACAATCAAATATTTCAATAATCTTACTAATATATTCTTGCGGACAATTTTTATCTGTTAAGTTATTTACAATAACATTCAATTTATCCTTCAAACTGTTTGATGCAGTTTTAGTATAAGAACAATTCAAATTCACATCTCCTTGTTGTTCATAATTTTCTTTGTCATTATTATATTGAATTCCTGAAGAGTGAATATTAGTTTTCCTCTGAGAGATGTTCCCAATTGATAAATTCGTTTGTGTGAATGAGTCACTTTTTTGACAACTGCATGAATTGAGATGTTTCTCCTTTATCTGCAAATTATTGTACGTACAATCAGAGTCATCATCAACTGCTTCAAATGCATACGATTTTTTATGAAACTTTAAATTTGATTCTTTATCCTTATGATTTCTTGAATCAGCACATATAATATCTGTTATTACACTTGTGAAATCATCATCACTATCTGCAATAGGGGTAGGCCAACGAAATGTTACACTACATCCTTGCTGTACAAATGATCTCCAGATTTCATAAACATTTTTCCAATCATCGGGAAATCCACTATGAAATTTGCCTCTAATATATTCTGGCAATTCTAAATATAAAAAATAAAAAACGCATAATATGAATCAAAAGATGTATATGTATAAATATTGTAAGATATCTACCATATTCATCATCAACAAGATTTCCTTGCAACTGATACAAATGTTTACAAACAGATTCTACTTTAGTATTTGTCAATCTTCTTACAACAGGTTTACTCCACGCAATTTTACCACTACAATGACATAACAAATATTATTAGGATGCAAATAAAGTAAAAGTTACGTTATGTATCATACCATTCGATCTGTCCTTTAATAATCAACTGGTTTTGTTCATTTAGCATAACTTTCCATTTTGTAAACATTCTAACATTATTGTTCTGCAAAGTGTCACATCTAATCAGTAAGGGATTGAAAGCTCCGGTACGTTTTCTATCTTCATTGGCGAATCTATAATTCTCTCTTTTCCTAGGTGATTCAGTATCAATGTCAGAGGAATGACATTTCATTTGTAGCGAAGATTTTACAGCAGGATGTGTTGCTGTACTGTTTGATTTTTTAAGACTACAAAAATGTCTGTCAATATTGGGTGGTGGCATCATAAAACGATCTTCCGAACAATTGTTTTCCTTGTTAAACTTTTTAGCAGTAGACGTAACAATCATTCTATGATCATTATTAACAATTTTCGTTTTCAACTGTACATTTCTCAAATTATTACTTGAAGAAACAACTTCACTACCAATTTTGGAAACTTGTAAAGAGGGAATATTAGCTGTGGAGTCAAGTGGGTCTGCATTAATGCTAGAAATGCTAGGAGACGTAGGTAGTGGCAATAATTCATCTTTCTTTTTATTTTCACTTCTAAGTGACGCCAGTTTCAAACTTCGTTCTAACTTTTTGTATCGTTCTTCCATTTGAAGATCGGCAAAGCTCACCTACATCAATACAAATGAATATAAAATTTATATTAAAACATTAAAAAAAAATTGTATTAAAACATTAGTTATACTTAATTGTACTTAATTGTACTTAGAGCATAATTACCTCGGTCATGTGCGTCATTTATTCAATGGCAAAATTAATTATTCAGATATATATTTTGTCATGTTACGTTTACATTATATTCTTACATCCGATATACGGATTTTAATTGACGATATTACTTCTCATATTCGAAGATGATAAATCTACGTGTTTATGATTTTTATTTTATTCGTTTACCTTTTTTTCGTCGTCTCTAAACGTCATTCGCGCGGGATTTCAAGATTATCCTACCGATTTAAACAAAATGCACGACCGTTTTCGCTTGTCAGTGATTCTCAAATATATTTCTGATACATACAACTACAGGAAATAGACAACTCGTTTCTATATTGTATTAACTCTTAAGAAATTGTAAATTGCGTCATTTTAAGCAACATCATGAATTCATATATAGTTATACAAGTTTGTATTTCATACATTCAATTGATCGAATAAATAAACTTTTTAACAGTTACAATACTTATAATGAAAACTTTCTAACTAGAATAGTAATAATCGAGAAAAAAAAAATACTTTCTTTTTTTATGTAGAAATATTATCTTTCCTTTCTTTATATAGAATTATATATCTTTTATTAGATTTTATTTTCATTTTTTATTTATACCACATAGGTAACATAAGAAAAATTAAAAGTCCTATATAATTAAATAACCTAGACAATATGCCATACAATTCACATTTTGTCCAATGTAAAGTGAAAACACTTTACATGTGTAAATGAGTTGGTACCATTGCTACGCGTATGAATATACAGTATGAATCTTCTTTGGCGCGACAATTTTGAATATCGTTACCACTATGATAGCAGTTTAATAACTCATTGATCATCTTTATTGAAATTTGATGAAAAATAGATGTCAAATGAAAGAAAGAATAAAAGAAAAATTGATATTTAATTATTTTTTTACAACCATATTAAACAAAGAAATATTACGGAACAATTTTTCTGTTTAAACCATTTATACTTTATAAAACATATCGTATGTCAAATGTCATGTTAAGTTATTTTTAAGATATGATAAAACACAATCACTGAATCATTCAACTATATGTTACGTCTTAAATTTATACAAATAATATTATAAAGAAAAATTACATGTCTACAATATTAAAGTATCATACATGTACATCAAATTTAATCTTTTATCATTCAAAGCTTGAGAACGTAGCATCACACAAACATTGATCATATCTTTTTTTATTGTTATTTTTAATATTATCATTACTTAATTATCGTAGTTATTATTATTCTTCTCCTTCATGTCATTCTTTCTAATCATCAATATGGTCATGTTTTGCCCGAGGAGAAATACACTATCACTTCTTTTATTAAAAATGGTACAGTCGTGTATTTTTCTATTTATCTTATAACAGCAGAAATAATCATACGAGCTAATACTCGTTTTTAACCATAAAGCACGAATATTCTGCTTTTATATTAATAGTCTATAGTGAGTAAAATTTGACTAGATTTTTACATTAAAGATTGCGTAACTTTAATTTGATATTACAACTATCCTATTCCAAGCTGTATGCATGTAACTACCTTATGCTACCTTATTAAAGCAAATATAAGAAAACGTAGATTGTTCTTTTATTAACAAATGTACCGTTATTAAAGTCTTTTGTAATTGTTCGTATATGGATAGAGAATAGGAAGTCTGCTACATATCTAGTGTATTAACAGACTAACTTTTATTTTATGATTTGCCATTCGCAGAATTATCAGCTTCGCTAGATCCTTCTGCCGAATCTGGCACTTCTTTTTGATGACTTTTAGAATTTCTATCCTTGTAATCTCGCCGATGATGATGATGATGATGATGATGGTGATGATGATCGCTATCTCTACGATCTTTTTGTGAAATGTTTCCTCTATATTTTCGATTGCTTTCATCGCGATAATAATTACGATGACCACGAGATCGATAACATAAAGATTCAAACATCATCGTATCTAATTTTATATTGCCATTTTGAAGTTGCGGTAACATAGTCGAATCCACCTCTGTCTGATGGTCCGATTTATTGTGTCGATTTCTTCCATTTCTACAATAATTGATATTACAAATGAACTGTAATAGCAATAAACATTTTAAGTCCTGATTACCTGAGTGACTTGTGATGCCAGTAACTTTGTAACGGTGGAAATATATGAGGACTTTGTTCTTGTACAGTGCTCGTAGGTGATCCACGACTGTGATGACTATTATTACCGTCACGGGATCGAGCTCCTTTATTACTATTCATATTTGGTGATGTTGTTTTCAATGTTGCAATCTGTTCTCTTTGCTCTTCATTTTGTTTACGTAATCGTTTTATCGTCGCTTCTGTACCTTCAAAGCAAGCGATTATATGTGCTCGAGAGGAATGCAATCCCACCTGGATTCCTACATCTATCATTGGCTCCTTATTCACCTTTTCTTCTTCCATAGAACTCAACTTTCTGCAATAAAATAGAATTATCCTTATATTTAGGTACTTACATTTAGGTACTTTTTACGATTGTCGTAGCTACTAACTTTTTCTGTTCTTTAATAATTTCAGACAAATACTGATTTTGCGTTTTAGCTTCTTGTAAAGATATCTTGGTATCTTGTAAATCTTTCTCCAAAAGTTCCACTTGTAATGGTGTAATATTCACGCACACTGGGCTACCCTGTAAAAACAAATTTCTATGCAAAATACACACAAAATATATTACAATTGTGAAATGTACCTTCGGTTTCACAAACCCACTTCCATTGTCTTCAGGAGAAGAAGGACTGCTAGGTACATAAGTAGATCCTTTCGAAAACACCAATTGAAACTGTAAATCTATGTACAATTAAAGAATATTAGACAGTCATTTATTCATAAAACAAAAAACCAAACGTATTATTAACGAAAAATGTTGCAATATAATGATCACCTCTATTCTTTTGGCGCAATGATTCTACTTCTTGGTGCAAAGCTACCAAGGTTGCCTGATGTTGTTCTTGTAAAAATTTCATATTTTGTTCCAGCTGAGCTACTCTATCAACATTTACAGTTTGAGGTCTTATACTTTGATTCAATCCTTCATTTCTATCTGGCAATGTCACTATATCTCTTTCTGACGGTGATTTCTTTTCCTAGATGTAACAAGTACTTGAATGATTGAATTTATACCTTAAATATAAAATAGAAACGACACTTACTTGAGGAAAAGGTACGGTCGGTAATTTAACTAATACTGTAGATGCCATTTTGGAAAAACTTATGCTCACTTGGTACGTAAAGACATAAATATTTGTGGGCTTGGAATATAAAATTATTTTGCGCACGCACACACATACACAGAAATCACAGAGATATAAATTACTTTATTAAGAAGCATTCCTTAAATGTGTATCATGTTTTGAAAATCTGAAAAAAATTACAGCATAATTTACGATAATTCAAATAAAATCGTTATCATTCGACATCAATTCTAACAATATAATATGAGGCAATTTCATATTATAAAAATATACAAGAGACATTGAAATATTAAATACACGTATAATGAAATGTAATTATTTTTCAACGATCATCAACTTGGAAGTATAAGTATGTATTTTGCTTTCAACAATAACGTATTAATTTTTTACACAGGATCAAGATCATTCTATGATGTTACATTGTTATTCGCCACATTTAAATATCATTGTACAAAATATAAGCGATAGGAACGCAACAACCAGAAAAAGGGTAGGAAGAAACTAAAGCAAGTCAAGTCTGCAGGAAGAAAAGAAAAAAAACCATCTTTCTATACATTACCAAATTAGCTTTGAATTTCCAAAGGTTTCGTGTAATAAAAGGCGAAGAACCGACAACATGCAAGTAATCGAGAGGCTGGCGAAGTGCGATTCTGCGCCTGAATTTCCTGACGTCACGTCGCACTAACTAAGGATTGGTTAACGGTTTAAAAACAATTTTGCGACCGATTAGAATGCCGTTGAGAGAGACTCTATGGTTTCGAGGAAATATTTAACCGACTACAAAACAAACAGATTAGAAATCCTAAGGTAGCACGCGTAAGTATGTCAACGATGTTACAACGAGAGGTTAATAAAGGTCGATCTTGTTGCTGCTTGCTTGGACAATTTGAAATGCAAGCGCGCGAAGGTATAGATCGTCTCAGGCAGAGAGTATTCAAATACGCAGGACAAAACTTGCTCGCGATACCTGTGTTTTCTGTATCCTTGGGCGCATGGGTATTGATCCGATGATATTTAACAAATGGTAGCACGCCTCAACCGCACCCACATTTTTATCAATACCATCTCGACTTGTTTATTTATACTGCCTGTAAATATCTTTATGTCGGTAATCGTTTTGTCAATTAAATTACTTGACTTTTAATGTGCAGTCAGCATTATGAGTCATTTGTCAATATATTTTTGTAGAAAGTTGTCTGGTCGATTTCAATTTCTGACCAAGAATTTTCGTGCCGATGTAGTAACGTTTTCATGTAAAAGACATTGTTGTGGTGCATTAAAAAAATTAAACTGAATTGTAAATCGCACGTACATGTAAGAAAATATTTATCTATTAAAATAGTCATGTATTCATGAACGTATATTTTTAGACGTTATACGTGACACATATGCGTATACGTACATTTCTATGTATAGATATACGTATATAATATAGATTATTATATGCATATATATACATATTTTATATTATCTTGTATTATATATACATGTATATATATTACATATTGCCCAATAGAGACCTAATTTCATTGTAAAAGAATACTCTGAAGTATTTTTGATACGTTGTTGAAATGTCGAGGTTAAGATGTTAATTTAACTCCTGTTCAAAAATCGAATAGAAAGCAATTTTTTTAACTTTCTTCTATATCATTATTCGAAACAAATAGGCTTGCGCCCATTTTCCCGGAGTTCGTGTATATCCTTTGATATATTCTTTTACCGTGTCACTGGACAAAGATAGAAAAATTTGGTTGTCACTTCTGTAGAATTTCAATTCAGCCAAGAAAAGATGTCTTTTATACTAGAAAATAGACCAATCAATGAAGTAAATAATAAAGACAGAGAACATTTTCTTTCTTTAGAAGTGACTAAAGATTATAGCTTTAAGGTATTTTTCTACATGTATGTATATAAACGTACCAGTGTATTCAACTACCATTAACATAAAATATTTTTTATTATAGTATATTCCTGAGAGTCATTTTAAACGTATAGTAAAAAATGTACAGAGATACAGACGTAAGGAGGATGAAGAACGTGTATGGGCCTCATTTGTGAAAGAACGGGAGTTAGATAGTTTAAAGTTTGAGAAAAAAAATATCGACTATTCTATACAAAATATGAAAGATCTGTTACAAGGAAACATGCAAAATGTAGATAGAGAACTCAAGAGGCTTGAAGAAGATGCTCTCCCTGAACGAAATAAAGGAATTCAAAATCTTAAATCTAACGTTAAGAATGAAGTGATTTATACAAAAGTGAATAGTTGGATTGTATTATCATTGTTTCAATCTGTATTTATTTCAAGTTCATTTATTTATATTAGGTAAACAATATTAGGAGAAATCATTCGAAGAGTAGAAGTACATGCAAAACTAATGTTCCAATTTCTCAAGACAATAATATTTCTATACGTAGAGAATCTGAAGGACAAAAAACTGTTTTTAAGTCCAAAGCTAAAAAATCGTTGTCAGATTCTTCTATAACAGAGAAAAAATGTTATATAAATCAACTTCTTTGCGCGACCAATAATTTTGAAAATAATTCTGACACAGACTCAAGTAATAACAAAGATGATACCATTCATATACAACCAGATCCACTTACCATACAGAAACTATTATCAATGCAAACAAAAATTGCTGAATTATTAGATGAAATTTCGTTTAGATTATGCAAAATTCCTTTACCAGATGGTGAGAATGATTTGAAAAGAAGACAACAGCAAACATTGGAATTTGCAATAAGATTTTCAAGAAATTATCTATATAATCTTAGCAGACTCGTCACAAGTATTCAAAGACATATCAGAGCTATGTCCTCCAGATTAGGGTTAAAACAATGTCATAAAAATATTGTATTTCATCAAGATATGATAAAACAAAAGCTGGTTGCTGCTCATCAATTATTAATACAAGCCCTAAGTGCTTATTATAAACATATTCCTAATTCTATTTTTGAAGGTCATTCTAGAAAACTTCGAGTTGTATTACAAATTGTCTATAATCTGATAAATATTTGTGATAAAGTTGAGATTTCTAGTTATTATTTTTGTTCAGGAGATGTTACTATTACATCGTTGGTAATGCTTCAACACAGTTTTATCGTTTATAATATTTACAAATCATAAAAATTTGTTAAAAACACATTTTTCTATAGGGAAAGAATCTTCAGGATAAATGCGATGCTATTTTATCTAAATTAAAGTTAAATTTGGAAAACAACTGTGGATCCATAAATCATAAGAATATACAACCTGTAACGACCACTGCACCAATATCTTTACCTAACAAGGGACGTTTTAATCGAAAAAATTTATCTAGTCGATTAAGCATGTATAGCATGGATGTTAAAGTGTCTAAGGGTAACAAAAAAAGAAGATACGATTTAAGAAGAAAAAGTATACGAAACCTATTTAAGGTTTTACATTATTTTGTACATACTGTATTAAATATGTTATGAATTTAAATATGTATTTTACAGACTATACTTATCGGAAAGAAGATGGGAACGATACTAAAGATATTGAAAATTCATATGCTCAGGATTATTCGGTACCTGAATTACTATATCCCAGCCCCATAACGCGTACGACATCATCGAGGGACGTTTTTCAGATCGATTCCGCGAAAAATATAAATAATATGAAGGATGATGACATTCGAACCGTGATGGATGGATTAACGATAGATTCTGAAAATGTAAGAAATATTAAGGGAAATATATTTTAAAGAGAATCTAATATAAAGCTAATTTTATTACACAGGATAGTAATATAGAAATTCAAAGTAAATGTAAATCTGCAACAAATAGCGAACAACAACCTGTCGCAAAAGGACGTAAAAAGACATCTACAGAAATGCGGAAGATGAAAAATGTGAAAAGCAAAGGGATAAATGTTAAAACAAAAAATTTTACTAATGAGAAAGATGATTTAATTAAAAAAGTAATTGCAATTCCTAAAGAGCATTTAGCTACTCTAGCTCCTGTAATAAACGATTTAGTAGCTCTTGTATCAAAAAAGGTAATATACATTGTAGTTTATTGTAATAAAAATAAGAATATGTACGTATGTAACAAAAGTTAATACGTTATTTAATATTCCCTGTTATCGTATCATATCATAGCAAAATGAATGTGAGGTGCAACCTGTTTTGGAAACATCTGTGGAGATATTACGAAAATTTTTACAAAAATATCAATCATCTAAAGATTGTGATACTAAAGCATCTTTAACAAAAACTAATTGTAATTTTAATGGGTAAATAGAATACCATAATAAAAGTACATCTTGATTAAAACAATAAAATTGAATATTTTATGAATTGCAACAGCTTATCTGAAATTAATAAACACGATGAAAATGTACAATTAATTTGTATATCTTCCATGGATAAAGTTCCTAAAATGACACTGTGTGATGCTTCGTGTCAAGTAGATTGTGAGACTGCATTAAAAGTAAGTATACCACGTTTTATTAAAATGAATAGATATTATATATGTTTCTATAACAAAATTTCTAGACTATTGATGACGGAAAAATTACGGACTCAAACGTCAAAAATGAAGTGCAACTTACCATTTCGGAAAAAACTGAGCTACAATTTTTAACATATAGGTGTGAATATAAGAAATTTTGCCAATTAAGACCAATGTATTCCAGCAATACGCAAAACAAACCATGGGATATTGTGGCATGGTAAGAATACTATCCTATATATATCTCGTGCAAATTTTAAATTATGAAAATATCTTTAAACAGGATATCTGATAAATTAATAGAAGAATTAATAATCGAAATAACAGAAGAGTTACAAATGAATGATATAATTACGAAACTGTTTGAACTGGAATTTCACGAATTGTAACGACATTTGTTTATGTGGGATTAACATAGGAAACCATATTTATAAACCAAATAATTTTTCAAATGTTTTTTTTATTTAAAGTACAACTTTTTAAATAAATTATTAATTTGTAATACTAACGTGTAATTTATTTATCCTTTTAACCTAAAAATCTGTTTTTCATAAAAAAATAAAATTGGCAACCGAAATATTTTAAAATTATCAGTAAATTATCCACAGCATGACAACAAGAAAGCAAGATTTAATAATATTACGTGGTAAAGTATGAGTTAAAAGAATTAACCGAACGTTTTCTGTTTTTGTAATTGAAAAATAATAGTTGCGATCATTCGGACGTATTTGCGTATATATAAAATATTTCAATATACTAATGTGAAACATACTGAAATATTTATCGGACGATTTAGTCTACTTACTAGTAATATTACTTAATGTTAGTATCGAGAGGTTAGGGCTACTGGAAATTAGTTTTCATCATCATCATCGATAACTTAAATGACAAAACGAGGCATCGAAGTATTTTTATTTTAATACAGAAATACAAAATGAGACAGGCAGTTTTGAAATTATACAAGGATTTGTTGCGTTATGGTGAAAAATTGAAATATACGGACAAAGAATATTTCCGACACAGAATTCGCAAGAATTTCGAACAAAACAGGCATTTAAGTGATCAAACAGAAATTAACTTTCAGTTCCAGGTAAATAAACATAAATACAATGTATTTTGTGCAAACTTCCTATTGCAGATACTCTTAAATAAAATGGAGCAATACATATCACTTAACCTGAAAGTAATTTTTTTCAGAAAGGACAAAAACTTCTGCGAGATCAACGAATAGTGTAAATCCATAATTTGCTGAAATTAAACAAATATAGCTATATAATCATAGTAATGCTGAGCTTGTTAAACAGAAGATGTTTCAACCAATTCTGCGATATTTGTACCTTATTGTTTGATAAAAAAATGTCTTTATATTGCAAAACTGATAGTAATTGGGGTAATTTCTCAAGTAGCGAGAAACAAATTCGACATAAATCGTACGACCGTTTCTTGGATTACTCAAAAGTACCCGAATTACAAGAAGATGATTTGCAAGAGCAATTTGTGAGAGGATCTGGACCTGGTGGTCAAGCGACTAACAAGACAAATAACGCTGTAATTTTGAAACACAAGCCAACAGGATTAGTTGCAAAATGTCACGAAACCAGAAGTTTACAGCAAAATAGAAAAATTGCTAGAAATATATTATTGAAAAAGGTGGACAATTTGGTCAATGGTGAGGATTCTCTAGAAAATCAAAAGGAACGACTAATGAGAATTGACTCCATTAAGAAAAAACAAAAGAAGAAAAAGCTCGCAGATTTAAAGAATGCATTCATGGAACGCGAGAACTTAAAGTGATTAAAAATATAGCAAGTTACTTGGGCAACTTTTCACTCTATATATTGTGTGATACATCGTCTAATAAATTTCTAACAAGTCCAGCAAATTAACATAATACTTGATACTATCTTTTTTTAAATATTGTACGATAATCAAATATAGTGTAGAACAAAACAGGTTAGGAACATGTAAAATTTCATTATTATTTTTAATGGAAAATTCATATCTTTAATAGTCATCTCTTTTTTGAAATCGCGAAAGGCTTACATTATTTATCTTTGAAATAAAATATTTAGATGGACCCTCGTAAGGGAATCAATATATATATATATATATTTATATATATATATATAAATATACACACACTCACACATATACATATATATATATACATATACATATATATATATATTGAATTATATCTTACACTCAATGATGCGTTTTATAACAGAAAATTATTGTTCGCTATAATGAAGCTTGTTTTACAGCATTGCGCATTCTAAAGCCTGCTTTTACAAATAAAAATAACTTCCTTCATATGTGCACGTTGTATGTATACCGAAATAAGAAAATAAAAGAAAGTACTTTGTTTAAACGCAGGTATACATACACACGCTGACTTTCTGATTTGAAAACACAAAGACTGCACCTAAATATCAATGTACTCTTATCGAAAAAGGACATTAAGGAAAATATTAATAAAACCCTATTATCGGTGCGCCAGTAGTGTTAAATACTATTCTACATACACAAATATTTTATACATAATTTACATGTTGCGAACTGTATAGATTAAATTTCAACAGCGAGATCGTATGAAAGACTTGATCCCGATTTTAAAATTTAAACTATAACGCAAATCGTATCGAGGATTTCAGCTACTTTTTAACCACCTCCCGAACTGACCGCGGTTGGTTTTTAAACGTTTTTTCGGCGGCTGGGTATTCGATCTCGGAGAACTGGAACTTCTTAATCGTCTGTTGCTTGCGATCGTTACCGAAAGAATACTGTGGTCCATTTCAACTTGATCATCGATCTTCATCATTCTAACAACTGGTTGAAACTCGATACTCGAACGTCGTTCTCCCAGTTCTGAAGTAGCTATGATCGCAGGACTAACGCGTCCCGATAATGTACAATCAACCTCAGAATCTTGCGTTTCCGATGACATAGTATCGGCTCGTCGTTTCGTATTACCCCGTATATTTTGTGGCTTTTTACACGTAATACTTAAATAGGAATCCTTTTTACAGTTCTCGTCTTCGAACACTGCGTTCGAAGACATATTATTTTTTCTCGCACATCTTCTCGCATAAATCCGTTTCCGCGAAGATACTCTGTTCCTTTTATATACATTGTTATGATGGTGGTGATGATAATGGTGATGATGGTGGTGACGATGCTTTTCGATTTCAGAGTCAGAGTTCTCAGAATGATTTTTCCGTTGCCGCTTTCTTGACAATCCGTTCGTGTTGTGATGTTTCCTGGAAACGATTGTCGCCTCGGCCTCCTTTCTGCACAAAATCTCGTGATTGTCGAGCTCCACGCGAGGCTCGCAAGTTTCAGAGGATGTGTTGTCACGTTGCCGTTTTTTGATGGTTGCGTTGGATATAAAGCGACGTTCCGACATAGAGTGAACATCTTTGCGGAACACGTTCTCGTGATTTTCATCGTTTCCAGGATCATTCTCTGACATTTCTTCTTCGATCTCTGACATGTTCTTCCTGAATCCGTAGTCTTTGTTCAATATGAAATTCCTGTCAGTCTCGTTGCATATATCAGGTGTAAGTGAACCTGTGCAGGATTCAGCATTTGTTGTATGTAACATGGAATTATCAGGGACCGCTATACTTACATCTTTCTTCTCGTTTTCGTCGTGACGCGTATTAGAGGAAATACTCGAGGTATACATTTCGAATAAACGTCCGTCGTCCTTCCTCTGGCCGAAGCCTAATGACTGTTCATCTTGCGCGATCGAATTCGTAACAGATGCACCTATCTTGTTGTTACTTTCTACCGTTAATCTACCAGATATATTCGTGACCTGTACATCGCAATCTTTCTCATTCTCTCCAATACTTTTATCCGCCAAGTTCTCTCTGTCACAATTTATATCCGCCAGAGGTTTACTTTGGAGTCTTCTCTTCATTTTAATGCCAGGCCAACCGGTTCTATTTTTCCTCTTCTTCCTTCGTTTCAATGGTAACTCGACGCTACCCTCGCCGCACTCAGAACTCGCACACGACGAATTTTCCAAACAGTTTATCACATCGTGACAACTCTCCAGTAACTCGAACAAATTCGGGGGTGGTCCTCTCGGAACGTTCGGCTCGTAAACATTCAGTTCTATCTGAGTTGTATCTGGCTTGAAGGATTCAATCAGTTCGAAACTGTCGTTTGCATTGAGCATCTCGTCGATGCTCTTTACTATTTCTTTTAGATCTTCGTGTACGTGTACGTCAGCAGACTTGGACGACTCAGTTTTGTGGTCGGGTTTTGGAGTGTTTGCCCGTGACCTGACAGATTGGCATTCGTCTATCGTGCACAAATTTGGGGATTGTTGTTGCTGTTGTTGTTGCTCCCTTTTCCTAATAATCGTTGACATAATAGCTAACGTGGAAGCGTGACAGCGAGGGCTTTTCCTAGGAGACCGGCCGATACAACCCACACTCCGCCCGCGACCTTTCCTCTTGCTTTCAGTTCTACTTTGATTTTTTATCAGAATCTCGTGAAAATTCTCAATTTCGTATGGCAAAAGAAACGGTTTTTCCGAGTCCCCCTCGCTGAAATAGTGCCAAAATTCAGCTCCCATATCTTGCCGGTGATACGTTTGATACCACGGTTCAGACTTCGGTATGCCTTCGAAGGAAAATTGCATTTTCTCGACCTCTGGTGAGGGCTTGGACGGATATACCACCTTTCCTGTTTCGACAACACTGTTCTCGACCACCTTCTCTTCTATTCTCTCCGAATTTTCAATTGTCGATGACTCTTTAATACCAGTCAGAGGTGCCTGATACCTTAATCTGCTCCCAGGAGTTTCAAATTTGTAATAATCAACGTTGTCTTTGATCAACGCTTCTGCCTGTGTCCGTCTTCTTTTCCTAGCTCGACCCAAGTTTAAAGAGTCCTGAGAATCGTCCTCGATGGTTTCCGACTTCACAGGTGAACTGGAACTTAACAACGAGTTGGAGGAAATGAAATTGCCGGTGTCGTTGCACTCACTTTCAGTATCCCTTGGCAATATGCTACTCTGTTCGCCATCGCTCGTCTCACTAGAATCGTCTCGTTTAAGTTCCCTAAACATAAAAGATTCCGCCTCGTCACTCAGCAACGACAGTTCCGACTTTCTTACACGTTTAAATCGTACAACTACTGGCTTTTCACTAGATGGCACTTCCTTCTTTTCCTCACAATCCCCATCTCTCTGAACTGTACATTGGGAATTATTATTTGACAATACACTCGACCTTAATTTACTTCCTAACACTTCCACTTTATAATATGCACGGTTATCTTCGATTAAACGTTCCTCGACGGACAGCCTATGCCGCCCTCTAACGCTTCGGCTACCTCTTCTTGATCTATAGTATTTCGATTTCTCTTCTTTCGTTATTTCATCTTTCTCTGTATTGTTCGGCGTTTTAGTAACTTTTTGTTCGTCCTTTATAGTATGACCATTACAGATAGTGTCCGCGGTAATGTCATTGTGCTCCGAAAGTCTTTTCGCGCTACACGGAGTGCTCTCTAACTGGAATTTGCAAGTTAGTTCTTTCAAAGTTTCGTTTCCAGGCGATACTTTACAGGATTCGGTACGGCTATTGCCATTTGTACTTAAAAGATTTTCGTTACAACCGTTTTTCACGCTTCCGTTAATTTGATCGTGATTTTTACCCTTTACAGACGTTTGTTCTTGCTTGACACGTTCTATATCACTCTTAATATTATTCTCCTCGTTATTACAATTTATTGTCCTATGTACATTCTGATTGCTAGTATCTTTAAGTTTAGTACACGTGTCACAATTCTTCCCATTTTCGCAGCATTTCTCCTCTAATTCCGTCGAGAACGTTTTAATTTTATATTCGTTTCGCTTGGGCTCTTTCAACTCGTCTTCTTCCATGTATTTATCTCCTGGCTCATCCTCTTCGATCCAGATTGTCCCCTTTGCTCGCTTCTTGATAGTAAAACCCTCGAACTCATCATAAAACTTCTCCGCTTTATCCGCTTCGTGCCAGGGGCTACCTTTTGATCTCAACAAATGGCCACTCTCGTGTCTTGCACGTGTACGTAAATTATGAGAGGAATTTAATTTTAAACTGAGATTCCGGCGTGCACCATTGCGCTGCACCATCTTTATATCTCCGACATCGAAACCTTCTAAACTTTTTGCATTTCTGTTGACCTTCCCTTCTGGCAGTACTGTGTTGTGAAGATTACGATCTCCATTGGAAAATAAATTGCAGTCTTTCCTGCAAAAGGAGAAAGTAGCTCATTAAACAACCATCGAACAAAATTTTAACATTTATCAAGAAACGATTTAATAATTAATGTAATGTATTTTACGCACTCTATATTTTTTCCTCTGTTTAATTCTAAAAACGCCTCTACATTGGCTCCAGCGTTAATCAATTTATCCAAAGACAAGAAATTATCATCGTTTCGAACGAAGCTAAGATGCTGATCGCTTTGTACATGTTTGGTCAGATCTCTATATCTAATACGGCAGATTTCACAATAACCGGAAGCTAAATGATCTGTTCTTCGAGTACGGACAGTTGTTCGTGGCCGCCGAGTCATTTCTTTTTTCTGTTTATATTCAATACAACGTTTGACATTTAACGCCTGTCAATTTCATTTAAGTCTTAAACAAAATAAAAATTATACATCGAACGTTACCTCCTCTTGGTTGATAGCTTGAATACCTTCCCTATTTTCCTTGACCTCTTTCTCTAATTTTTCCAGTTTTTCTCGTCTCTTTGTAATGAAAGGACAAGAGCCTGGATCACCGTGAAAATTCAACGTTGGCCACACAGGCAGCTCAACAAATACAGGTCTACTATTCCTATATTAGTCAATGTGTCATTATATATTAAAGTAACTCGAGGTACACTTATGGAAATCTTGCGTTAAATAACATACCTCTGAAAAGACTCAAACTTCAGATAAGAACCTTTCAGGTGTTTGACCTTTATATCTTTGCTTGCACTCTGTTGACGCGAGTGTCTCAACTGTTTCAAATGATTTGTGTCTTTGACAGGTGCGTAGATTTTGTCAAGCCAAGCCTGAAATTTGTCAATTGCCCAAATAGGAATTCCCCAATTTTGAGCGTTGTAAAGTGGATCCACTGAACACTGTTGTGGCTGTATGAGAGCACGCTCCAACATTGCCTCCACCCGAGATTTCTACGAAACAACGCACAGATTGGACTATGAAATTTGGTCAATGGAAATCGAAAACAGAAAACTGAAACTTCACTCTGATACTTACGGATCTTTGGGTAGTCTGACCCCTTAAATTGGTTGTATTAGACAAGGGGCATTCTGGACTAAAAAATGGTGTCGAGGAAGTTGGCATGGGGGTTGGAGTTTCTAAACTCCTCAGCGAAGGAGGTCCCCCGCTGCCTCCGCTGACACAACCCCATTTATGCTTCTCCAAATTCACGTAACCAGTCTTGTCTACTCTGTCGCTGATCACCAGGTCTACGCTTCTTATTAAAAATAATTCTATTACCTAGAAAATTGTAAAGCTTGTAATTACAAGGCTTGCGAAACAGATTACCGCAGTTGTAAATTAACAAACGGCGTACGAAAATGACGAGTAAAAACGTGCAAGACGAATCGAGGCGAGGAGAACCTCAGTGGCGAATCGAGAAGTAGAAAAACAGCAAGAACAAAGAAGGACAGCTTGCCGACTTACAGCGAGTCAACTCACTCGGGAGGAAAAAAACTGGTGGCTGCGTCAAAGGAATACGTAATGTGTGGCAGCCCAGCGATAAGTGACCCGCTGACGGATACGCGAATACACACGTTTACATCGCGGTATGCTGACGTCAAGCAATCTCGCGTTCTCCTCAAGTGCAGCCAGCCGCACCGTCGTCAATCGAGTTCGCAGAAGCGCGAGCCATGCGTACGTAATCTTCATGTAGTTAACAATGCTTGCTGCATTGTTACACACCGTTTTAATAATACGTTACAGAACGAATCAGGACAATAAACGAAGCACGTGGGATCGAACGGGAGGAATAATCCATGGAACTTCGATCGGAAGGTCAACGAGAAAGAACCTCTCGGCAGAAATTCATGGGAAATGGAGGGATAATCGGCGAGTTTCCATCAAATTACTGTCACAAGCGGCCGCGAAACCTTCACACAAAACAACTTCCTCGAACCACACTGTTTATCGGTTTACGAGTCCGCGAATATCCCGGAGCTCGTGTTCGAAAGATGTTCGAAAAGTAACACACGGCTTGAATGGTTTCGGGAAGGAATGCGCGTCAAGACGTGTTCCAAACGGCAAAACGAAAGGTGGCAAAGGAAAAGAGCGCTGGGACGCGCGACGAGATCGTTACTTGCGGGGGAGAACTGTCACGCACAAAATGGCCATTCGCCGTTAACAGCTTGGCAGACGAGCCTGGAGGCGGCGCTTTGCGTTCTTGCTCGCCCTCCGTCGATAGACACGCTCACTAAACGAACGCCGTGGCCCCGCTGAATACGTGAAAATCCTTTTCCCCAGTATTTTCGCGTCCATATTTTTTGCTTTTTCAAACCACAACACAACAGTTGAAAGCGACGAATCTGCCCCACTTCCCTCCTGCTTCTCCGCTTTTCCTAAAGATGGCGTCACGCGGCCCGGTTTTTTCACCAATTGTTTGTCAACAGAGATACTTTTCGACGATTTTTCTTTACACCCCCTATTTCAGTTTGCCGGATTACAGAATTTTTTTTTTTATTTTTTTTCGTACGTATCATTACGTATGTATATATGGATGATTCTTAATCGTTATACAACAGGCAGCACAGCTTTTCACGGAACATATAGTTGATACTTGAAAGTTGACATTTGAACAGTGGTTCAATTTCATTCTATTATACTTGTCTTTCTTGCTATTTTAATCTTCCGACTTGAATGAAATCTCGTTAACCGCAGGTTTTATATTATGAAAGAAATTGAGTCTTCATAGGTGAATCATACGGCAAAAAGAGATTGAAACACATGCATGATTGCACGGCAAAGTTAACGTTAATAGGTTATAAAAGTAATAATAAGCAACAGTAGAAAACAAAATGATGAAAAGATAAATGCATCGGCAAATGCTATGTCACAGACATAAAAAAAGAAGTCTGTAAAAAAGGAATTATTATCAATATACTGAAATTGTGAAACAAGTTAATACATACATAAAAACAAAGAGGTAAAAGTAGAGGTTTCACAAATGCCACCTACAAGTAACTAAACACTTACTCCTCCCAAATCTTTGATCTTTGCTTCTATTTTAGCTGTAGTAGCATGGTTCTTGATATCCAAATAAAACACTTTTCCTTCTAACAACTTCAGTTCCTTCTTTGCATGAACATCTGAAATGTTACAGAACTTCATAAAAATTTTATCTAATTTACTACGAACAATAATTTTGCATTGCTCAAGTGTGTAATTTTATAAGCACATCATATAAAAGGAACAATATTACACATTTTCTTTATTAATATGTACGTATATGTAGATGTATACGTATATTACACGTGATACAAGATGATTCTGCAAGTATATAAAATATATGAGCAATAGAAAGAACTCTACAAGTTTTTTCACATATGTATTGGAAAGGAATTGTTCATGAAAGTTCAATAATCGAGCGACCAATCGTCTCGATACAAATATGTATATGCGTTATACATACGTGAGTACTTGTTTGATTTATTTTCTCTTGATGGCTGCTTGTGCTCTTGATGTTGAATTTTAGACGGCGATACCATTCCTATGCTATGCACCGCACAAACAACGATATTTTCCTTTTACTGTACTTTTGTATTCTTACAACACTTTCCATTCTCAAAAACGCACCACATATTATCACATATATTTCTTTGCATACTTGTCGGCGATACTCGTTTAATTGGTAAACCATATGACCTATATCAGCCAGAAATTACACAACAATTTCCATTTCCGTACAACCAAACCCAATTCTCCCAAACCGTTCTGAATGTCTTCGTCGACTGAAGTTTACGCTTTGATGATCATTTGAAAAATACATCGAACATATGCAAGTAGGGTAGCCACCGTAAAAAAAGTCCCTGAACTTACGTAGCTCGACGCTCTTCGTGTTGTTCGCCTCTCAAAAGTTCAATCTATTTCACTGCATTGGTTGAGATATGATTATTAAATGATTTTAATTACCATTCAACGAGTTAACTTGGCAATTTCATATCGGAACAAATCTCAATTTTTCTTTTTTCCTTTTTCCTAATTTTCGATATCCATAGAATTCTTTTTGCGAAGAACTTTCCTTACGAATAAAAATTAATAACTATGGCGTGTAGGATTTCGAATTGCTCCGATACTTTGCTCGCGTTAAATTCGGATAGCTCTTACTTTCACAGATATTTTCACTTGGCATTGAAAGTCGTAATTTAGATCGCCTGGGATCACGTACTTATATAAATATTCATTTTCTTTGTTTATTGTGCTTTTCATTCACATTTAATAATCCTCATCTCGCAAACGTGTACAACAATTTTCAATGACCGTGATAAACGACTGAATTGTAAATAATTACAAAGCGTTTTAAAATTCAAATGATCGAATTGTTGTTATCTTCATTAATTGTAATTGTAATTCTTCCACGTTCTCTCTATAAATGAAATTGGTTTTATATTCGTTGTCTTAGAATTAGCGATAATTCAACTAATTTACGTAATGTTATAAGATTTGACGTTGGCAAATGGATAAATGGTTGGCAAACAATATTTCATATTGCATGTTATTATTATATTTATATTTTAATTGCGATAATGGATTTCAGTAATTTCAATTTCAGTGACTCAGTAACAATACATCGAAACAGTTGAGAAACACTGAAGACCGTGCTGGCGGTAGGAGAGGCATATTGAAACGCGATTGTTAGTGATCGTGAAAGCGATTGTTGGTTCGAGCAGATTGTTGTGATGATCTGTTCGATTAAACGTGAGCAATGTCCAATCTTTTGCGAAGTCTGGTGTTCGGAGTGTTTCTTAGCCTCGCAAACACCAGCATGCCACATCCATGGTATGAAAGTTTACCCGCAGTGGCTTTAGACTACAAAGTTCATATTGATGCCGGAAAGGAGGATTGTTACTTTCAATATGTTCATGCTGGCGCTACTTTTTACGTGAATTTCCAGGTATACAACTCATTCTCGCATTGTCGTTTCACTGAAAATACTTTTCTTTTTGTGTGTCGACTATCGCAAGAATATTGACAAATATTTTTCATCTGGTGATTTACTTAAATGTATTGAACCATATGGTAAATCCTTGAAAATTTTTAAATGTTAAGAAAAAGAAAATAATGTTTGCAAATGCAGGTAGTACGTGGTGGAGATGGAAAAGCTGGTTTCGCAGTAAGAAATCCAGACGGAGTAATAGTTCATCCTTATCAGTGGCTATCTAATTCAGATTATCAAGATACTGTAAAAAATGCTGGTTACTACAGCATTTGTATAGATAATCAGTTTTCCAGATTTGCTTCAAAATTAGTTAATTTATACATTACAGTGATCAGGTAAAAAGTCATACATGTATGTGCATTCTAGAATTTATAATGGGATATAACTACATTGTAAATGTTGTTCATGATTTATCTCTTTAATGTAGATACGAGGAATGGGATAAATATTCCAGAGAAATTGAAGAATTGAATGTTTCTGTGGAAAACTTTACGGTAAGTATCTATTATTTTCATTTGGAATAATAAAGTGATTATTTATTGGGTGTTTTTTTGTTCCTTAGTCTACAATAACCACAGTGGAAAGAAACATTAACGAAATGCTTCAGACTCAACATTTGAGTAGAAGTAGAGAAGCTCGTGACCTAAACTTATTGTTGGATAACAATTCTTATGTCCAAACATGGTCTATTGCACAAATAATTGTTATAATGGTAACAACAACGATACAGGTATATTTTGTAAGAAAATTATTTGAAGTGAGACCATCCAGATACTCCAGAGCAGGCATATAAATGTTACTAAGATGTATCATATGAAAGTGAACATGGCTGAAGAAGTTTTCTGCATTTATTACGGGAAACGATAATGACAAATATGCTGGAATGTTTGTCTAAAAATATAACACTTTTATTTTCAAAAAATTATTTATTTTGCTTAAGATTTGTTGAATTTTTACTGTTTGAGAACTGTATACCATTTTTTTTCTCAGAAAGAACTGAAGAACATGTTTTACAAGACTGTGTATCATATCTCATATTTACATAAACAAAACATTCCACTGATTATTATATTTAGAACGAATAAATTATTAACTCATTCGTTTTTATCCTTGAACTTTTAACTAATTAAATTATACATAAAATTATTAGGAAACATTTATAATAGTATTTATAATATTAAAATAATAAATAACGAAATACTTTTGTTACAGAGATGTTCTCAATTTTATCTAATTCTTATACTTGTTATCATTTATGCGAGAACGAAAAGGATTAGAATTTCTGTAGAATATCGTGATGATTGATTTATTAAAAATTACATAAATTAATAGTTCATAATTTAATCATCATTCATTTAATGAATGGCTGATTGTTGTTTTACTCTTCGTTGTAACACGTTCCCGTTTAGCGCAAGAAAACGATGCCTCTGTTTAAGATTTTTCGCGCGAACATGTTCCGAAGCTACCTCTTTCGTATAATTTCCAGGAAACCAGCCCTGTTCACCATTTAGCAATTTCTCTCCTTGATACCATCCATCCGACATTTTTCTAAATACGTTTATAACATCACCTAAAAGCCAACTTTTAGTGTTAATTGAAACGCAAGGTCGGTAAGGTAGCTTTTTCACAAAAAATATTACATACCTGGATGCAACGACAATTCGTCCGGTTGATTCGGAGAATAACAATATAAAACTACAACTTGAGGACAATCCCACACCTCGTAAAGAGTTTCTTCTGGTAATCCATGTTGCGAAGGTGATACCGCTTCCAACCACCTTTGTCTTTCAGTATCGCTTTCGCACGTTAAGATATACTCGACCTGATGACCTGAATAATTCTCCAAGAGAGTCAACAGCATCGCGTTGCGTCCAGCAAACGGCGAGTCTTCAGGAACTGGTTCTAAAGTGATTAAACTTCTCTTACAAGTATCTATAACGGTATATGTTTCGTCGTGAATACTGTAACACAGAGAAGAGAGAAGATACGTTTCTGTTTTATATTAGAGACGCGATTGAAGACGTGAATTGAAAACTGCAATGAACGCTCATACTTGGACTTTTGTTTTGTGACTAGAAGAAGATCCGTGAGCAATAATAAATAAAGAGGAGTTTTGTTGAATTTTTTCCCAAACGTAAGTTTGTATTCTGTGTCAGTTTTCGTCGATAGTTGTACGACTGATCCACTTTTAACCAAATGCTTCCCTTTTAATCCTATTGGTTTAATTTTCACCGAATACTCCAATTTTCTGTTAAATAGAATTTCCTGTTTAATATACGGATACATGTAAGTACGATTTAATTTACGATTAAATCTTCTTAAATAATATCAAACTGTGAACGTCACCTTGTTAAATTTTCCATTTCGATTTCCTTAGCTGCAGCGCTGGCGCCTTCGTTACATTCAGCGACGACGTAACTTAAACTCGACAATACTTTTTCCCAGTGTGATCTGTCATCATGTTCTATTGGTAGTTTAGAAAGAACCGCGTCAGCCAACAAAGGAAGTCTGAATTCACATACTTTTCAATAATTTACACGCTCTTGTCATGTTTATTCGTCATTCGATACGTGAAATTTTAACGTTCGAATAGAAATTTTTATCTTACCTCGTTATTCGCTGCATCGGTAACATTAAAAATGAGTGCAAAGACAAACTTTGACAGGTCGAACGAGCTTCTATCTGCGATATCGTTTCAGTAAATTTTGAACCTTTTCGCATTCTGGAAGAATTCATCTGTCGGTACAACTTCATCAACGAGACAAAAACATTTTTTTCGCTTACCTTAAATTTTTAAGAGTCGTGTCTATGCTAACTTGATTAGAACAATATGCCACATAAATGTGCAAACATTTCTCGGCATATTTGAGCAGGACGTCTGGCAAATCGTGTAACATTGGATCCTGTCTCCATACAGTTTCCAGTTCGGCTAAAAACTGTTCCGACGCTTGCAACACGCTAGGAATACCACCGAACAGTTTGTCTCTCTCGACCGGAGTTAAGAACTCGTCGAAAGAGGATTCGTCGAGAAACTCGTTCTTCAAGACACGAAGAGAATTCAGATAAGACGCTTCGGAGGTGAGAATTTCAAACTTTGCCTCTTGAACTTTCTTTTCATCCGTGCTTAATCGTTCTAATAAAAGAAAAAAATAAAATAAAACATGATTTTATGATAGTTTCTAGATAAAGTGAGAAACTACGTGACGTGTCGCTTACGTAAAAGACCGTTGTTTATGACTTGCGGTGTTTGGCACCATAACGTCCTGTGCCCGGGTTTCACCAGATCTGTAGTGGATCGCGACGGGATCGTAGTCTCGATCTAATTATTAATCGTCAACAGATGAATAATTGGACTGCGTTCGGGCATTGAATGTGGTCTGTGATACGTTACCTCCTCGTAACCATCCGAGCTAAAGTCAGACGCGATTCTGGCAGCAGCTGCCGCATAAAACTGATAAAGTGGTTCCTGATCGGCGAGCACGCTGTAGTGATCTGAAGCAATTACGAGAGAAATCATAAGAATCACAAGAGAGAAAAAGGTTTCCAATTTCAAAGTTTCAAATATCGTAGTGTAGTGGCTATGACTAACACGTCCAAAGCTGTCCTCATATACTTCTTTCAGTAAATACAGAGAAACACCAACCGCAAGTGGTTCTCTTGACTTGCAGATCAGTATTAATCACGAGGTTAAGCAATGCAGGTGCGGAGCACCTCTAAGATGGGTCACCGTTGCTTGCCCAGCCTAGAGGTACCTCGCCGTAAAAACAAAAATACAAGCGTTTTAGGGTAGGGGTCGCCACCATCAGCCCCACTGATGAGTCTAGGCTGGCGCGGCTCTGAGACGAAATGCATCATAATTCCACTCCACGTCAAGCCGAAGTCCCTACAGTAGTAGTGCCCACTTAAGCGTCCCTTGTTATGCTGAAGGTCGTGTGAAACATGAGACACTTGCCATAGTACAAAGCGAGTGATACCTGATATTCGATATTTCGGCACAATTCGTAGAATACCACCTCCCTATACTAACTATACCGACTGACACACTTACCCATCATCTCATTGTTGGTATTGCTGTACATTGGCTCCACGTTCGACGTTGGTGAATCGTTGTTGCCGTTCGCAGAATCGGCGTAATCGCTCAAGTAAAAAGTTGAAAATGGTCCGGTGACATTTTTCTTGAAGTGTCTGGCGAAACCAAAGTATCGTCCACCATCGACGTTGGAGAATTCTTTGCTCTCTTCGCAGGAATGATCGTCGTCGACCGTCGTCTTCTTTCGTATGCGGCCCAGGCTTCCTTTGGTGATGCTCCAGGTCCTCCGGAGCATCTTTATTCTTCTGCCGAGAGTTCGAGTCAGACTGACTTCGCGCGGTGGCGGAGGATTCGGCCTGGTGGGTGCTTCCAAGTACGTGATCATCAGTCGATCGGAATCGATCGAGACCTTCTGTTCGCTCTCTCGCTCCCTCGTTGCTTCGTTGATCGTCGTCTCCGTTTCCGAGTCTGTGCAGAAGTCGTCCGGCTGGAAGGAATGGAGGCTCTCGTACGTGCTGTCGTCAGACGTGTCGTCTGTAAAACGTTACCGATTAACAATAAGTTGCAGTTGAAACGAGAGATATTTATACATTTCTAAAATTTATTCCGTAACGCTTTCTCGTAACAATTTATTCAGGTTTATTTTCCTAAGTAGAAACTCGATTTATAAAAAGATAGAGGGACGCTCTCCTAAATAAACACTAAAGTATGTATTCAGGAAAATGGTATTCTGCTACAACACAAGGTCTCAAAGTGTTCTTTTTCTTTTCTTACAAGGTAATTTATTGCATCTTTTTTCTGAATTTTTTCTGAATTTTGAAACACATAGAAATTTTCTTTTCTCCGACAACAGACAGATTTGTCGTTGTTTAACGGGACAGATATTTCAATCGACTTTGACTCAGCTTCTTCAATGTCAATCACTTCTTAAAAATCTCTTGCGAGGACCTTCGTGAACGTAGCACGATGATTCCTGCGTGTCCACGTCTTCGTCCAGATCGATGACTCTCATCTGGACGAGGCCCTGCGTCCGCTGTGAATTTTGCTGCGCCGCTCGATGATCGTCGCTCTCTTCTTTCCTCCATTCCTCGACGTTCTCCGTACAGCCGACGAGCAACACCGATCCTTTGCCAAGGCTCACAGCCACTTGAAATCATCGTTCACGGTCAAGCGTTACTGTGTCGTTACTTTTTTTTCGCCGCTCACACGCGTACGAATATACATGATGCGTATGGTACAATGTGGTGTGTCGTGATATAATGTGTGTAGCGCGTCCTTGCTCTCCGATATTTGTCCAAGATCGACAGAAAGATCGCGACGAATCGACAAGAGGAGAAAGGAATGAATATAAAAGTCGTGGCGCATCCATGCGAACGAACAAGGTGAAATTTCTTTTTACTTTCATTCTTCAAACAAGGACAATCTCCTCGTTTGGGGCTCGTTGAATAATTCTTGTGGTTCGTTATACTTTAAAACACACGATGCTTGTTGAAATGAACGATCAAAGCATAGGTACGAACGGAAAGATTTCTTCTGTCGTCTCTAACAATTTAAACAAATCAGATTAGAGCATTTACTTTCTTGGACAAATCTCGATTCTTTATCGTATCGTGTATAAAATAAAGTGTCGTCGTGAAATAACCAACGTACATGATTTACCTTGTGTATTCGGTCGTTGGAAAGTTTTCAAGGTCTGTTTCATTTCGACGACATGTCGACTCGTTGCAGACGAGTCTCGCGCAAGAACACCGCAAAAGGCAAAGCAAGCAGCGTCGATCGAGAAACAGTCGTAACGATACGCATTGACGAACGAAAATCCAACGACGCGCGGACATACGATGTAGAATCGCGATACGACTCGACGCGATGTGGCGCGAAACAACGCAATCAGCGTCTCGGCCGTGACTGACAGACACTGCACCGAGAGAGCGCAATACGCGCTGCTTTCACCTCCCCAGCGAGTCCGGTTTCCAGGCTGAACTCTCGTCGATGAAATATTTTCACGTGGCTCGAATCATCGCCTACGTTCCGTTCGTATCCTCATCGCCACATTGTTGTTGATTTCTCCAGAAAGTACGAATAGGAAGGCGCGAGCCAAGCGATCTCTCTTCCTTACCGATTGATTCATTTCACAGTGAGAAATCTCGCTCGGTAAAAGAACGAGATGAACGGTTGATTGCACGTGCAAGCGATCTTCGTTCATCACGAGATACTCGTGTTGTGTCTCGTGCTATGCGACGAGAAATGATTAACTTTTCCTTGGGCCAGTCGACTAAGCCGCGTGATGGTCGATTTCAAAATTCTCTTTCATTTTCTTTGACGAAATCCTCTTATCTTAATTGTTTTATTTTTAATCTCGAGAAACGCCAATACACAAAGTGAATATGAAAAGAGTCCCGCGATCGATGAAAAGATTTCCTTCATATTCGATTCATTTAACCTCTTGCGCATTTCGAGAATTTAACCTGACGTACCACGCATTTCGAGAATTTTTGTCCCAAAATTGCAATATTTTCTCAGTTTTAAATATATTTAAGTATACCCACGCAAAACAAATAATAAATTTATTATTTTTTCTTAGTAATAATTTCTATCCAGCGATAGTAGCATACCGACAACAATTGAGAAAGAAAGCGACGAATTATTGTATACGGTTTGGTCACTCGTTATGGTCCGTGAACCAGTTGCCAGTACAAGAGGTTAATATAAGCTATCGATTCCAAAGTTCGATTCAAAACCAGAGATCAATTTTACTGTTTACTTTGTAAAATTCGTACCAAGTATCTCGTTTTACATAGTTGAAAGTTTAGATTAGGAGGAAACATTCGCTGTATGTCGAGTAACACTAATTTCTAAAATGTTCATCTTCCATTTTTGAGATTATTCTTGTTAATCGCTTCTTAAACAGTTGCAAAATTATTTTCTTTCAATGATCTTTTAACGCTAGAACTACCGATGAAGCATCGAAGACATGAAAAATAAAAGCAGAAAATCTTTATAACGCAATAGGATGCACAAGCTTTTATTTTATAAATAATCATTCAAGTCTTTAAAAATACACTATTTTATAATTATAAAATATCTAAAAAAAAAATTATCAATTTTAATCATTTGGTAGTTCCAGTGTTAATACGCATTAAAAGTATATAGGTATGAATTTGTAATTTCATCTAAAGACATATAAAATGAACTTTGCACAAACTTACCGTGAAGCGTGGATTCGCAGGAAACCGGCTTCGACGACGAATTAAAGTTCTTCCTCGACATTCTGGACCGTTGTCTCCTCATCATTTGGGACCATCTTTGGCCCGATTTTCTTTTGTTCGGAACGACTTGCGCCTCTGTGCTTTTTTTTTTCATCGAGCAAACCACGTTGTAGAGAAATTGCAAGGAAAGAAACGCGTGTCACACTTACCAAGTATAGCATTTGCTTTCAAACTGAGATAAACCGTTCGTCGTTGAATCTTCCAGATCCTCCCACTCGGATTCTTTATTGTAGGTCCAACTCGGTCCTAAAATAGAGCTCATCGTAGAGCCGGTATAAAGACTATTGACTCGCTCTTCGCTCGGTAAACCGACGTCGTCGTACACATCCTGCTCGTTGCTCGACGCAACGTCGATATCTTCATCTACGCTGGAATATTCGTTAACGACGGACGGCTCGTTGCTCCCTAGCTTCGCGGTGCTGTCGCAGATTTCACTCTCGTTAGTTGTATACGTGTCTCCCGCACAGCTTGGACCCATCACGTCGTCATAGATGTCGTTGGGATCTTGAAAAGCAGCTAACAACTCGCCGATGTGACTTTCATCGACGTGTAATGCAGGTGTGCCCACGTCGTCGTAATCGTTCTGCCAATTGTAAATTCCAAAATTGTCGTTGATATAACAGTAAGAGAAAAAAAAAACAGAAAGAAATGATTGATTATAGATTACCGAGGAACAATCGCCAAAGATTTATGAATAATTAGGATTAGATAACTCTAGTTTTCAAACAAATGCATAATATTCATAAAAAAGATAAAGTCAATACAAAAAAAAAAAACAATTTTTATCCATTACTAGCTTAAAAATGGGAATTCTATGTTAACGATATTGTGTTTAAATTCTTTTTATATATTTAACGAGGTCGATGCTTTCAGTTTTTGTTTGCAGTGAAATAATTTTCTTACAATAGTGTATTTGCCACGAATAAAATAGAACATTGAAAATGCTCTTATATTTACTCAAATGAGGCCAAATGAGGTCTAGTTAAACCAACACTAATGAAACAAATTTTTTGTCATTTTTTTTAGGAGGTAGTTACAATTTAAGAATATATCAAATTTGATCGATTTCGATTGTTTTAAAAATCATAGTCCTTAAACATTACATGAACCTTAAATCTTTGGCAAAAAATGAAAAAAAATTGTTTTTTATCGCCCGGTGTTATTATACAAATGAAGCCCCTTGTTGAAAGTTATGAAAAAAATAATAAAAAGATAATGATGACTAATGGTTGGGCAATCACCTGGTTAATCAGATTCACGGGTCCCACGTCATCGTACACTTGGCCTACGGCGTGTTCGATGTTTTCAATACTTTCATCGGGAGTGGATCGCGTGTTTTCCAAAAGGAAGTTCTTGATCCGATCGCTCCAGAGAAAACTGGAATTGGCACACGGCTCGCACGTTAATTCGTCGAGTACGTTCGCCCGATGCTCGCTTGTTTTCACCTGCTGGCTCAGCTCCAACACTCTTGCCGATCGTGCCTGCAACTCGGATAGTAATTCCCGTTTCAGGTGTTCAAGGTTGAAAGGGGCGTTGCTCCTTTCTGTAATTCGAGAACATCGGCGATTAGTAATGCGAAGGAACGTCGTGTTTATGATGTTTGGAATGGTGATGGGGAAAAGTGATCACCCATCGATGAGGAAACGTACGCGTGGCTTTCTCCTTCGGCTTGCGAACGATCGGCGACGCAGCGCCGAAAGAGATCGACGACGACGAGGACGACCACGATGACGATTGCCCGACTCGTTTCTCAGCCAATGAAGAATTCTCGCGGCTGGTAGCGACTAGAAGAGGCAACGTGGCACACTTTTGCTCGTGCGTGATTACCACTTGCTCCAGACTAAATCTGACGATGTTCTCGTTCGACACGAGATTCGGATTTGTGGCTGACGCGACGTGCACGAAATTTGTCGGCGGGGAGATCTTCAGGTACTTCAACTCTTCCCGGGAGAGACTCCTCGATCTGTATCTGCCGCTTTCCACCATCTCGATTTTCGAGTCCGTCAACGACGATACTTTCAGAGAGTTCAACGATCGGCTGGCAATATCCTTCCCCTTTCGTCTTCTCCTCTTCCCTTTCTGCCCCTTTGCCAAATACTCCGGCACGAAGTTCCGCAGCAGTACAATGTTCCTCGCAAAATGTTTCTTCTTCTTTTCGCTGTTTAGTGGCAGCTCGTTGCCAAGGAGAAATCTCTCCGTCAGTTCCCCGTCCGAGAACGTTCCCATCAAAGACTTCCCATCCAACAGTCTCACGTCCGAGTCGCTCCTCCTGCTGGCTAAATCGTTCGTAGACTTCGACTTGACGAACATGTTTTTCCTGCACCAGGAAGCGGCCTCCTGGTCCTCGGGACCAGGATTCTTATCATCATCGTTCGCTTCTTCCTTCCAACACTCGTCCAATGTGCCAAGCATATATTCTATTTTCTCGTAATCGTCCGTAAACCGAGACTCGGTTTTATCGTCCCTCGAACTCGACGGAGCTGCGTCCTCGTCGTTCGAGCAGCATAAATGACTGGGATCACGCGCGATCTCTTCATTATCGGCGGTTCTTATCGATGTAACATTGGTATCGCTGTTATCGATGCAGACGCGCGGCAAACAGACGACATCTTCGTCGCGATTCTCTTGCTCGAGGACGGAGGTAGGTATCTCGATCGGGATGGCTTTCAACGTTTCCTGCGAGTCTGGCTTCGGCGACGAGGACAATGATGCAACCGTGAAACACTTTGCGTACTGCTTCGATGAGACACTCGCCGTTTGAACGTCGACCTGAACGAAACGTTTCGTTAGAGTTTGCGTACGTGTGTCTACCTAATTACGCCACACGTTGGGACATTTATAACGGTTTCGAGGAATGCGATAGAAATCGCGATCGTAGCTGTCATTCCGCGAATCGCGATTTCCAACAGAGAAATAGAGAGTATATACTATATATATATAGTATATACTATAATATAGTATAAGTATTTAGTATATAGTATATAGTATATATAAGTATATATATTAGTACATATATATTTAGTATACAGTATATGTAAGTATAAATGTATATAAATATATATATATACTAAATATATATAAGTATATATATACTACATATATATAAGTATATATATACTAAATATATATGTATATATGCTAAATATATAAGTATATCTGTAGTATATAGTATATATAAGTATATTATCTATAGTATATATAAGTGTATATATATATATATATATACTTTATGAGAGAGAAAAAGCACCCCTTAGACTCTATTTACGCGGCCCGCGTTATATAACCAAGATTTGAATAATTAAATAAAAATTTTATTATTTAAATAATTTTTACCACGATGTCCCTTTAGAAGTGTACTTATATCTGTGAATAGATACGTAGCATACAAAAAAAATAAAGAACAAAAATTTTCAGACGAGCATCTTGAAAATACTCTTCCAGTATTGCCATAAACTTATATCAAACCAGATATTGACGAACTAGCATCTAAAAAACAAGCTCGGTGTTTTCATTAAAAATTTTCATAATTTTTTTAATTAATATAAATATACTTTTCGAATGAATGTATCGTTTCATTGTAAAAGTTGTTTTAAATAATCGTAAATAATAGAGCTTGCATTGAACTGATAAGAAAATATGTAAACTATGCGCGGCCCTCGACGAGGTCCGGAAGATTTAAAAAGTTGGACACTCATGCGTTAGAAAAATATAATCAACGAAATTTCATGTTAACAATAAGCACCGTTTAAACAGGATGTTTATTTCCAATGCTACATCATTTTATTTGAAGTGATACTTCATTCATTATTTTGTAAATAAATTGCTGATATAACAGCAGTACAAAAAATGTTTCCGAAGTTCAAGAGTGAAACGTAAGTTGGTACGAGGAACGAGACGATTGTACAGAGTGGCCATTGAAAAACTGAAGGATTTGAAAAAATCATAACTTGTTCGTTTTCAATCTTTTTTATTTTCTTTTTTCGTATTTTTATTTCTTTTTTATTTTATTTTTACTTCTAAATAAAATAGTAAATTAAAAAAACGTGTTTGTAAAAGTTATTTTTGTTTATTATCATTCAGTCTTTCAGTGGCAACTCTGTACAAGTACGATAAGATAAAGAAGTGACTTCGAATCTGTTACAGACTCGATTGAACAGTCGAATCTGTATCGAACGACACAGTACACGGTCGTTAGAAGTTAGAAAACCACTCCTCTATCAGCGTCTATTCCGAACTTGTTTTCTTTCGCGACCTTAGAATTTCAGTTCGTTTTTTCAACGAAAGTAACAAAAGTGAAATTGCAATTTCACGGTTCGATCAAAAGCAGGTAAACGTTCAATTTCTACTGACAATACATATACGGTGCAAACAATTCTATTGAAACGATACAATATTGAAAAAGAAAATATATATATATATATATATATATATACGGTGAATAGAAAGAACGGTTCGCAACTTGTAGGGTAGATAGTACTCGAGAAACATGAAACATGAAAAAAAGTCCTGATAAGCATGAGCCGAAAAATTAATAGCTTCAAAGTTATAAACGATTTTTCATTTCAGTTGAAATGCTTGTGAAAAGTTAGCACACATCTGAGAATGTCGAAGGAGTACGTAATTCTTTAATACGAAGATGTTTATGCATGTATAGAAATGGAAGGACACGTAGAAAACCTTTAATCAGTAGAAGAAATTATAAGGTAATCATTACTTACGTACAGCATGATAGCTCTCGAAGCGAAGAAATTCGTTTTTTCAATCAAACAAACAAAAAATGCGTTTATAACCTTAAAATTGTTAATTTTTCGACCCACATTTGTTAGAACTTTTTTTCATGTTTCGACGAGTACTATCTATTCTAGATATTCTAGAATCCTTCTTCTGTATATGTAATTCACGCGAACCTTGGGGCCGGATCTCTTCGCGGTCGCCTCGACACGAATTTTCCCTTTACTCTTCGACTCGTTATTCCTTCGTTCGGTCGCAGCGTTATCGTTGTTGACAGGCAACAGCTGCAGAGGCAACGTCGCTCCTTTCAAAGCTAGACTGTCGAGAGTCGCGTAGAGAATTCTCTCCGAAGTCGCGGATGCCTTCCGTTCTCCGTGGAGGAAACTCCTGTTGGCAATCGGCACGATACTCATCCTGTCCTTTATCTTCTTTCTCTTGTCACGCGGCGTTATCCGATCAATCCTTTATCGACTCATCCACAGAATTCAAAGAATTTCCTCGCGTTCATCACTGCTATTGCAACAGCCATTTCTTCTCCGGCAAAGTCAATTTTTCAACAGCGAGAATCACGATCGACGAAAGTAGTGGCGGCGTTATCTAATGATAACGCGGAGGGAACGCGATCCGTTATCAGATACCGCTACACGCGCGCGTATTGGGAATCGGATCGAATTTAGCTGGCTTTTCGGTGGGACGCGACACGATGCAGCAACCGTCGCATACGTGACAACGACACGTTTTTTTCTTTTCCCCATTGTCAGCGAAAATTTCTACCGCGATACGCGGACGGCCGGCCGAACAACATCCTTGACGCGAAATGCCTTCTGTTAGGAAATAATCGCGATTAACCTCTTACGCTA